AACGGGCACCAGTACCGTGGCTTCCATTGCGACAGGGGCAGTTGTGATGTAGTGATTTCTCCGTAGCTGCGGGATATCACCCGTCGACAAAGACGTGACACCGCCCAAGTTGTTCAAGCGACGAACCCTCGGTCGGGTGATGTACGGAGACGCCAAGGTGCAAGGGACTCGACGGCGTCACCTCCGAGTTTTCAACAAGTATCGGATACGGCCCTATGTCCTTGAATCCAGGCTGTCCTTATTATTAATAATGGACTGGCCGGATTCGCATTCAGCGGACCATCTACGGTACGAACCCTCAGGGGCGGTTCGGATGAGTTCGCGGAAGACTCAGCGACCCTTGGAAGGCACGTTCACCGTCTGGGACAAGGCGCGGGCCGTTAAAGATGCTCATGCGACGGTGCAGACGACGCTTGGTATGCAAGAAGATCCATAACGGATCATCGTTCACTTGATATTTGTATACTTGATTAGGACTTCATATTAGGAATAGACCCGAAAGGGTAAGCTTAAATACAGAACAGAATTTCCACTCAAGCACACAGAGCGACGTCCGGCTTCAAGGTAAGCGTCAGGTCAAGCTTGTTTGAGTGTGTTATGCCTGTCGGTGGACTCGAAGCTCTGTAGCGAGGGTTCATCCGGCAAGGCCAAGAGACTTTGTGTATTGGCCGATTATTATCGGGAGGTTTTACGTGACGGCTTATTGTTGCCTATTTGCACGACTAGGAGTGCTTGAATTGCCTCCCTTTTATTTCTTCCAGCCGAGTGTTGAACACTCGGTGATCTCGTAAAAGGCTTACCCGTGCCTGGTACCCTTCCGCTGTTGGGACCACGAGGAAGTAAAACACCTGCTAGCTTTGCTCGTGCTAGTAGCGTGTTCTTATTTTTACTGGTTGGCCTATATAAGTAGTTTACAAGGTCCAGTTTGTCCCGGTGCAAGGGCAGAACTGGGGTCTTCAGGTCCGCCCGAACGATCGTTTACTATCCTAGTAGACGTATTGTTGTGGGAACATCCTAACTACATCTGTAGCTAGAGTTCACGTGGGATTTCCAACACCACACATGTCGGACATGAGCTTCTGGTAAGATACAGTTGATCTAGCAGTATCCAGATTCTTGTAGAACATCCGCTTCATTCGCGATTGTACGCGCGTCCAACGTCAATCGCTAGGTGCACACACGCTGCCAGACAAATCTAAACCACCAATAGTTTCGTTCCTCACCCTTTCCAGTCAGGCTCCATTATTCAGATGTCCGAGGCGGGTGTGCCATCGCAAGAGAGCTTGCTCAATTTCACGTGTAATGGACTTCACTTGCTGCGAAGAAACAGCCGTGGAACAAAGTCGATTACGTCCACTGGTCTTCACTAACTTCAGTAACATTTTGTCTTTTCGGAGCCACTCGCATTTCTGTTTCTTCATTTTTATGAAGTCCCATCCGTCTTGCGCCAGCTTATCCAAGCTTAGCAAATTGTTAGTTCCGCTGGGGGTGTCAAGCACCTTAGAAAGGTGCAGCGATGCACTTGCGTGCGGTTCACTCTCGTTCTTTACGCGGACTTCCACGTCCCCAACCTGCCCAGAATTGCTTGATGCCTTGCCTTCCCAACAAATACTTATGGACCATCATCTTGGCGCATACTCGACAGTATATCCTTGTTAGTGCACACATGACAATCGCTTGCAGAATCCAAGCTCCACTCCACAACCACATCAATCGCTTGCTGTGCAGCAACAGGCTTTGGTTAACACTCTTGTCGTTCAAGCATGGCAATTTGTCTCTAGTTACTGTTGCTACCTCCAAATTTTTTCTTATTTTCGCAGCGTTTGCGCTCTGGAAGTTGCGATTTTGACTCACCGCTATCGGGTTTTGGGCGGGGGCAATTTCTCTGGATGTGACCGGTCTCGTGGCAATTCCAACATTCACGACTGTCCTTCTTTTCCTTTTTCTTACCCGTTTGTACTCCAGAAGAGCCACCCGAATTCTGATTCTGATTACCCTTGGCTTTAAATCTACCGCGACCACGCATTTCACCCTTTCATGGCCTTGCTGCTGGTTCTGTAGCTTGTCTTGCTTCTTGCCAGCTTGCGCGGACGAGATATTTGGTCCTAGTGGAGGCTCATCACTCCGTGCGTCGAGCTCTTACTCAGCCCGGAGAGCGTTCATCACCTGAGCTGAAGATGGAGCCGAATGCTGATAACCAGTTTGCCTATTTTGTTTTTGTTTGCTTGTTGACTAAACGAGTCCACATCGCGTGAGCGTTTGTCTCGTGACAGATTAGCTCAGCGTCCGCAGTCGGTACACTATGTTGACTAACACCGCGAGGTATATTGTCCATCAGATCAAACTGTGCATCGCGTGTAGAAGATCGAGTACCACTTGGAACGTCAATCACACTCCAAACATTCATGCGCCTTAGGAAAGTCTCCAACCCAGCTGCATATAAGTCGAAGTTTCCATGCATTACCGGCGGTTTGCTTTCTAGCTTCATTCCAAATGCACCACCGGAAAACTGCGAGGTCATCATCGGTGCTGCTGCAAATCCTCCAGCACAAGGCATTGCCTCAAATCCTGTCGATCCCATCCATGGGACTGTTGGTCACGCTGAAGGTGTGAACAGCGGTGGAATCCACGCTGACGGAGCCGAAGCCACCGCACCAGCACCGTGAGCAGCGCTCACCCCACTATTCACCACTTCTCCACTTCCAGCCTACCCCAGAAACGTAAATCCACCGCTAGTGTACCCATCCGTACTGTTCAAGGTCACAGCCGGAGCGACATAGCTCTCATTCACTCCACTCACTAGAATAGGGAAAATAACAGCACCTGGCGTTGTCGTATTCACTCCAGAAGTTATAACAAGGTCTCCACTAGCCGTCATGGCAGCCGAACTGCCCGCAGCCGCCGACGCCCCACTTAATGTAACATTGTATACCCACGAAACTTAAAGATTGTACTCTGAAAAGTTTCAAATCCTTGGGCTCATAGCCTGACACGTTGCACAGGCGATCAGTAGGGAAAGGAGCAGCTTAGATGACAAAAAGCAACTAGAGAGCGTCTTCCCACGGAGCACTTTGGGACTAAGGAGGAAACCTCGAAGGTGACAGCCCTCTTTGTTAACACTAAGCACTAACGGGTGGATACTTTCACCTTCAATATTACGGTCCCAACCGTACACACAGCTACAATCGGTATACATAGTAACACGACCTTTGTCGCACTGTGGAATGACGTCAAAGTCATTTAGGCCCGCTTACGTTAGAGCGAAAAGTACGCTTGTCACGCGACGCAATTAGCATGCCACGTAGCAGGTGCCTCCACAGTCACAGATACGTCGTCATCGCTACTATCCTCATCACAAGACGTTTCCTCACCATCGTTCTCCACATCTAATTCATCCAGGCCTTCACGGCTATCATGCCCGCCGTCACTCCCGGCGCCAGTGTCCTCTTCTCCCTGCTCAGTCGACTCTTTAACTTGCTCAGCACTTTGTAGAGGCTGCTCCATATCACTATTAATAGCACTCGTGACGTCTGAGAGGGCATGGAGAACCGTCCTGCGCGCGCGTGTCTCCTGGGCGGCTTCTCGGGAAAGGCGACAGAAACAGTTCTCGTAAGAGGAATTAACTTTAGCAAGTAGATTGGGTCCAAAATGGAAAAATAAGTAGGTGCGTTTTTCAAAAATAAGTAGATTGACACCAAAAATATAATGCATCATTGCTAAAACCAAATAATCAAATTTAGAATGACCGTTTAAAATTTAAGAACATATATCAAAGTCTTAAAAGTAATATCGTACGATTCGCACAAGGCCACACAGGCCCAATCGTACGATCATACTTATTATTGCTACTGTTGGTACTGCCTAGTATTTTCAGTGGAGCTCACACCCAGGAAAGATTGTCCACTTGATCGAGCTAAAAGAAGACATGACCGTTCTACAGCCAGTCCGTTTCGCAACTTATCCTGGCCAATCAGTTTTTAAACCCCATCGCCTTGCCAGGACGAGGTGCTCACGACCCTTCATTAATCATTTTTTGAGCTCTCGCAAAGACTGATTACGTGGCGACAAGTGCTGACATACAATCTCTGCATGCAGCGTGTAGGCAATTTGGCGGGGTTACCGGATTCTCAAGGACACCCAAGCAAATGGGGCAGTTGTTGGAGGTGGCAGTATCCTCGTCTCTGCGGGGCATGTCATCATCGTCATCAGATATTACGATGATGACAGGAGCCGCAGGCTGCACACGCCGCGATCTTCTTGTTGCTGGAGGTTCTTCAAGCGGTGGAGAGGGGGGCTCTGTTGGTGTCGACTCTCATAATTCCGCGACAGGATATGGTTCTGCTTCTGGAACTGAGCTCGTAGAGCCCTGGATGGGTGGAGAATCTTGATGCTGGACCAACCGCAGCGCAAGCTGCTCGAGAGCCCCACGACGAGCTCTTGAAAATCGACGGTCGTAAGCAAGCTTGGCTGCTCGAGCTTCCTGAAGTCGGCGGGCCTTGAGAGTCGGGTCATGCTGCTCCAGGCAGACTTGGCGACCGACATGCTTTCTGAGGCTATGTGCTGACAGAACTCGACCGCAAACAGGGCAAGCGACTCGCTCGGACATCGTAGATAGATTAATAAACCTACTTACATCGATGACTTTTTGTTGTGTTGCTTCATCGTCATGTAATACGTATTAATATCTGATCTAACCCTCAACTTCTTATTCCTAATTATACCTACTTACAAGTAGGTTGGTCAACCTACTTATTTTTTCCATTTTGGACCCAATCTACTTGCTAAAGTTAATTCCTCTTCTCGTAATTTATCGCGATCGGAAATAGCCGAGCTAAAACCAACCGGATTCTAATCCTGGGCTCCAACGGTTCCCAAGAAAATGATTTTTCCAGAAACAAAAGTTCTCTAATAAGTAATATCTGGTAATAATAATAGAGCTTTTATCAGATAGGAGAGGTTTTTCAGTGTATTATAACACCGCGACTTCTTTCGCGCAAGCAATGCTCGACGTGTGCGTCCACGAGCTCGGGCGCGGCGAGCTGGATGTGGCAGCGCTCGCTCGCCTGCAGCGTGTGGTGAGCCGCAGCGCATTTGTGGCCATCGACACGGAGATGGGCGGCGTCTCGTGCCACGAGTGAGTGCGTGTGTGCGCCAAACCTCTGGTTGCCTTGCGTCTAATCCCTTGCCCCCCGTGTCTTGCGCAGCACGCCGCGCCCAAGCGTCATGGACTCCATCGACGAGCGTTACGCCCAGTACTGCAAGAGCGCCAGGAAGTTCCCACTCGTGCAGTTTGGCCTCAGTATCTTCAATTGGGACGTCGAGGCGCGTGTCTTCCGCGTCGAGACGTACCAGTTCCCGCTCTTCCCGGTTTTCCACGAAAAAGTGACGGGTTTGGGCCATAGTAGCGCTCCCGCCAGTAAGACAACAGCTACAGCCTGTCCGGACCGTCGATTCCTGATGCAGGCCAAGTGTCTGCAGTACATCCGCGCGCACGGCTTCGACCTGAACGCGTGGATCGACACAGGGATCGGCCATTTGTCCCACTACGAGCAGCAGCAAGAGCCGTGCAAATCGGCGCTTGAGAAGTCCGCGCGACCTGAAATTCTACGGAAATGCGACCCCCAGCAACCAGCGCTTATCACGGACGAGACGCAGTCGTTTCTGGACCAATTAACAGCCAAATTGAAGCAGAGACTGGCAGCTTTTGATGAGGGAGGACGAGAGACAGCAAGTCGAGTAGGGGGCATGCAGGATAACGGGACAAGACGACGTGGACGTCGTGGGGGCAAGAAGAACAAGAAGAAGAACAATGCACGCAACAAACGACGAGGAGACAACAGAGACCGAGTCACGACACCCGGGAAGGAGCCGATGGAGCCGCCGCATGCTGAAGAAGATTTCGAGAGTGGAGCGAAGGAGGAGGAAGAAGGAGGAAGCTGTGGATGACGAACAGGAGCTCGAGACGACGAGGCCTGAAGAGGATGCGCAGGCTGAGGACGACAACGCTGAACCGGACGAGGACACTGTGGCTGCTATGAAGCGGTTCCTATTAACTCCAGTGGCTGTAGACCCGACGTGTGGCCCATGCGGCGCGTACGTGACGGAGCCCCTTGCGCCGTTTCGTCGACACGCGTTAGTGCAGTATCTTCGCACGGTTCTACCCGATGCGTTAGCCTTGGACTGTAAAGTAGACAATGCGGACGACGAAGATGTGGTCCGAAACCCGTGGAGACGTCGTGTACGTATCGTTGCAGCGCGTTGTAGACGTCAGAGACGGGCGTTGGTGCTGGCCGACGAGCAGCTCGCAGACGACGAGATACGCGAGCGGAACCTCAGTTTGATTGGCTTTACAGCAGTGCTGGACGTCATTGTGGCCGCTAGGAAGCCCATCGTAGGACACAACATGCTCCTCGACCTCATGCAGTGCTACGAGAAGTTCCACGGACCGCTACCAGGTCGCTGCTCGGAGTTCCAACGCGAGTTACACACGTGGCTGGGTGCCGGTGGTGGCGTATTTGATACCAAGACCCTTGTAGACTACGCGATGCAGAAGGTGGACTCGTTCGCTACTCATTTGGCGCATACGGCGCTCGAGAACTGCTACGAAGTGCTGTCCAAACATCCTTTCTACGGCCCAGAAGTGCAGTGCGTGCGTAGTGTGGACACTGCACGTGACGAACAAGTGGGGGCGTCTCAGCCACCGCTTCAAGCACATCAAGCAGGTTACGACGCCTTCATGACGGGATTTGTCTTCCTTCGTGTCTGCTCTGGCCTTGGGGTGTCCAACGAGTGCATCGCTGCCTTGGGGAAGACCTCGCAGTGTCTGGAGAGTAGCTCAAAGCGCTCGGATGCTCTAGAAAACCTACGCAACGTGTTGTTTGTGAGCCACTTTCTACCGACGTACGTGTTGGATCTCCCAGGTCCATATCCGAAGCCTACTCCCACACCATCGCGCTCTCGGTTTGTCCGGATGAAGTTGACGCGAACGCGTGCGCCTATTGCTCCAGGTGCAACTCCTTTGCCGAATACGGGCAACAATTCTTGTCCAGTATTGAAGACGTTCCACATCAAGCATTGTGTCGGATGGGCTCTAAACTTGCAGTCGGCGACGAGACTCGTGAACGTGCATTGGGAAGGACAGCAGTGCGTGTACGTCGAGTTACCGACTGCCGAAGCTGCGGAGCAATTACTGACTGTACGCGCTCAAACGAGCGAGTGCTGGGGCTCTGCGACCGACCCCATGCCGTCGATCGGGTGCGTCGACTTGGAACGATGCCCCGCAGCATACGACTGCGCGGAGACGGAGGCGACCGCGACGATTTCGGGGCCGCCACCGCTCGCGCAGCAGTCGGCAAGCGACGACGACAAAGCCGGCAGGAAACGTAAGAGCTGTGAGATGGCGTAGCGACGATGGTGTACAGTACTTGCATGACTCTGCTTGCCATCGTATGTGTACATACTTGGCATTGTGTCAAATGTAGATCACCATTGCCGTTGACATAATAATTCTGATGTTCTGCTTGCACTGGATTGTTTTTAGGGAACGTCGCTTATATTATGGGAATTTTACAGTATTATATTTTATTTTAAATTCCGTCTTCTACGGTACTAGTTCTTAACTTCTTGCACCAAAAATTCGCCTACAGTAACTGCACTGTCTTGCTATGCGGGTGGAATCGCTGTTGCGGCCTTGTTCGGCTTTCGTTTGGCGAGGGGTGTGGAGGAAAACCCCCTTGGGCTTGGGCTTGGAGTCTTTGTTTCGGTCTCGCTCTTGTTGAGCATGCTACCGGGACGGTGGTCATGGAAGGAACTCACAAAGGAAGTAAAGAAAACTTGTCGCTCCACTTCCTGTGGAAATGTCGCTAGCCATGCTTCTACTGATTCACTCGCTTTACCGCTGAAATCGTCGATGTGAAGTCTCTTCATCTTGCGCCGTCGTGGGTTGTCGGCGTGAGGTAATGCTTGGATCACAATGGGTAGCTGCGCTGGCAGCGCAGGTGCTGGTACGGGTGGCTGCACCTCGAACCGCTTCATCATTGCTCGCTGCTGCCCAGGCGTCAGCGCATCCCACCAGTCCATGGCTTCCAGTTCGTCTTCCGCAGACTGCGTTTGGCTCGCCGGCGTTGTTCTCGTCCCTCCTGCAGTGCGGTCGTTCGGTGATTGCCCGTCACGCCCTCCATCTGGTTCCGGAACAGGCATTTAGGAAAGTAAGCTACTGTAATCATTCTTCCACTTTCCCGCCGTGTATATTTTACGCCTCTTTTCAAGCTCAACACTTCTGAAAGAAAAAGTATACAACATGTATACTGGCACCCGACGTGTGTGACCCCGCAAAGGACGAAGACGCGTGCACGTGAAGCCCTACGATAAGCTGCCTCTGTCGGTCATACATGTACAGGAGGCTTTTCAAGTACATATTCGCTGGAGCAAGAACACACCGCTCCGCAACGAGTAACAAGTGAGACTCAACCAAAGTGAGAAGCAGGGAACCCGAAAAAATAATATGCGTAAAAATTAATCCCAATTTTTTAATTTAATTATTAATTTATGGCTGCCAGCAACGGGAACATTTGAGTAAGGTCTAGTCAAGTTACAGCGTGGGGACGCGCTGAACGTCGCGGAAAAATTAGCCTGCGCTGAATTTAGGTCGCCTGATCTCGAACGGTCGTCTTCAAGAGCCGCCGAAGAGCGTTCTATTGTGAGAGCGGCGTTCAAGAAACGCAATTGCGCACTACGTCGACGTCGCGTACATCCCGCCAACGTCTAACGAGTGTGAGCGCTTCTTCTCTCTCGCTAAGCTGGTGTTGTCTGATCTATGTCTCCAGCCAGGCTCGAGATGATAATGTTTCTGAACTACAATCGTGACTTACGAAGTTTTGCAAATAATTGAATTATTAATTTTCTCAGCTCACATCGATGTATTAATCTAAGTATTGCATTTTCGGGTTAGAAGTCGCTAGCATTTATGTGCTCAACGGGAAAAGGATCGAAAGGATCGGAATACACCGGATATTTTAAACCATTGACTATTAATATGCGTTCTTGTGCGAGCTGTATTCTGGTATTACATGTACCAGACTGGTAAGCACGAGCTGTTATTGCGATGATTTGGGGGGCGGACCATTTATTGTGAGCTCCTTTCGGTCATTTCCATTTCCCAATTTAACTCAACAAAACGCTGACGTCCGTAGATGTTCTTCCGTCTAGTGGTAGTATTTGCGGTCGTGGCTTCTTTGCTGGCTGCTTATGCAATCGTTATGAAACAAAATATCTCATCAATGACTACACGTGCACCGGTGAGCATTCGCCGATTGACTTCTATCACGGACACTTCTCTCAATGAAAAGGTTGTGGTCTTGTCTGGAGAAGAGCGAGCAGGCGGGACGGCCGGAGCGTCAGCAGCAACGCGAACAGGAGTGGGTGGGGCGATTTCATCCAATTATAATAGTGATGGGCAAACAACAGACAGCGAAAAGGTGACTGTGACGACTTACAACGGCAATGGCCTTTTGCAGAGGTGGAATAGGATACTTAGAAATGATTACTACTGTAGTACATGTACTTTATGCCTACGTACTTAAGTATATTTGAGTTCTGGTGCTGATATGCAATCGGTGATTGCAGTGATACTTCGTGCTCGAGTCTCCAACGCTGCACATCGTAGGCTAGGGGGTAAAATGAAGGGCTACGAGGTCCCCGTTTTGCCTCATATATTCAAAATCAGGTTATAGGCTATCTGACATCTTCGCAGCACACCTTCACGTAAAGCTTCATGCGCTCCATTCAGAAACATTTCCTTTCCAATGCTATAGACGGTCTATTAGACCCTGAGGTGAAAGGTGTCGAGACAACAGCGCTGCAGCAGCTATGGTCATTACAGAAATGCAGTAGCTCACAATGTGAGTAATATAATTTACTTTGTAATATATAGAATGTGCATGGGCTCACCTAACGTTAATTATGAAAACGAAGAGAAAAGTACTTGCATTGTACTAGAGAGCTGTAGTTTCTGGAGCTATCCGAGGTAATGGAGGCGTCGCTCCAAAAAAAGACTCCTTGGAGCTAGAGCGATGCCTCATTACTCCACTGCAGTTAAGTATAGGAGCTAACCACACGGAAATCTATTTTCGTCTGCCAGAATTTACAGTTCTCTATTCGTAGAGCTGCACAACTTTGTAAAATTAGTATACTACTATTAGTATAATATAGTAGTACTACAAAACAAATTGGGATACTACAGCTAATACATATTACTTGCTGTATTAATAGTAGTTTGTGATATACTACGTAGTAGCTTTTTGTTGAAAAAATACTTCAACTAAGATAGTGCTTCATAGTACAGCTGTAGAATTACTTACTGTAGTAAAACACTACCGGTGTGTCAATGAATCCATTAATTATATTGCCTTGCTGCGGGTACCGGTATATGGTTCTCTTGATAGATAAATGAAACTACACTACATCGACAAATGAAGAGTCGAAGCTCACGCTCCCTAATACTTGAATGTCTACCTACCACGCCACTGCCTCTATAGTACGGATTTAGCCGCACCATTGATCTGGCACGACACCTCCAGGAACACCTGGTCCGACGAGGCACCGTTGGGAAAGGCAGCCGAGCGCTGGTCCTCAGAGAACGCGCTCAGTGGGTAGAGGAACGTGACCGACTGGTCGTGCGTCTCCAACAACTTGTCGTTCGACGAAGCCGCCGCTTTGGCCACCGTGGTCGGGAACAGAGCGCCAGTAGACATGCCCTTGCGGATCGTGCTCATGTCGGCCACGGAGCGACGAGTCACCTCGTTCTTGCCGTTCAGAACAGTCAACAGCACTTGGTTCTTCTCGTTC